GCGGCACTACTCTGTGGGAGCCTGAAGCCGGGTTTGTTTAGAAACAAAACCTCCAAGTGCTTACTGGTGATTAATTCAGTGTTGCTTTCAGCTTCTTGCTTGTCTCACTGGTCATTTTCTGTCTTTACACTCAATGGTGAATAAAATTCCAATTTTTCTTATTCTTCTGTTGTCTTACATTTATTTTCCAATTGTCAATAACTCACCCAAACCAGCGCCAGTTTAGCTCTAGAACTGGCGTAGTGAGAAAATACCCTCAATAGGGTTTTTTTTGGTACCTATGCCAGCCAGTTGAATGGTCTCTGCAGTGTCATCTCAGCTGGGAAGCTCTAGAACTGCTTCTTTTTTTATTTAAAATACTGTCAGACATAACAGGGAGTTAAAACTCTTACTTTTATCTGGAGCTGATTTTTTATAGTTTTAAAATAAAAAATGTTTTTTCACAATACAGACTTTGACTAGAAATGTGACATCTTAATATGATGAAACAATAATCGACAGACTCACCTTAGACTTTAGAGGAAGCAAAGAAAAAGTCAGGTATTCTGTTCACAAATCTATACAAACCACTTCATCCAACAAAAGGATCACTAAACTGGATGGATGGGTGGGTGTGGGTCTAGTGTAATAGTGCTTTGAGTGGTCAGTACGACTGGAAAAGCACAGTATAAATTCAGTCCATTTACCAGTTATCTCCCAGTTATTGGTATGAAATATGAAGGGCTGTGCTACTTGTCGATACTACAAGTTACTTTTTTTACTTACAAGATGTTTACTGTATTTATCGAAGTAAAACATGACATACTCAGAAATGTGAACATTTTCACAGAACCAGGAACCCCTTTTTTTTCCCATGCTGTTCGTTATCTTATCTTTTTGGTGTATCCCAAAACATGTTTCTATGAGTCAATGAGTCAAGATAAGAATCATATTTTTAAATTTAAAATGCCCTGTCTTTAATGTGTATATACTGCTTTGAATACTCCTGTTTATTAAAATACCTAACTGGCATGATTGGTGTAGCTATACTGTAGTTTATAGTGTGCTACTGCGCAAAAACAATCTTTCTCTCTTAGTGTTCACATGATCATCTCAGTCAGAATGTTACAGAATGTTCTATATTCAACCTACGAATGCCTCCAACTGGTAAAACCATTATTTGATTCATTAACTATGAAGTAGGTTGTCATTTTCAGTTAGAGCCAACTCAAGCAATCAGCATGCTGAGCTGAGTGAATCTTTAACATAGCATCCCTTTTGCATTGTTTGGAGGTTATTAACTAGGCCTACATGCAGTGTATGATATTTCAGAGTTTTCCAATATTGTCCTAACACTTATCTTAAACATTAGATGACAGACAGACTAAACTGGAGATCACATGAAGATGAAGAGTTTTATACCTAGTAAGGCATTGCTGGAGAGTAATTTAGTTAAAGCAACACATCTTCGAACAACATTGTAACAGAAGGTGGATAAGGAAGTGCGAGCATGGATGTTTAGGTGTATGATAGAGGTCTACAGGAATCAATCCGAGTATGCCTGTTTGTGAAGAAATTAAGAATGAAAAATGGAGAATGCACCTCCCATCTTTTCCTCAGTTTCACCAACCAACCTCTTGTGTTTTCTGCTTCCACATGGCTGCAGATTTTCATCTGTTGTTTCAGCCCCTGCAGTAGGATTTTTTTTCTCTCTTGTGAGTCATTTTGCTCTTCACCTATAGTAGACGCTATCCACTGCCTCTCAGCTTCTGCCTCCTCACATCATTCTCCCTTGCACAGGGATGAAAAACGAAATACTAGTTTATATCTTCTCCCTTCCTACTTACAATATTTACTTTAACAAGGTCAAACAGCATTTAATTGTTCACAATCTGAACACTTAGTTGTCTTGGGCAGCTAAAGATATGTGGCCCTCCAGGCGATTTATTCTTGCTTCCTATAAGAGGATGAAACAGTCTTGATTTTTCCTGTTATCCTAAGGTGAACCAAATTTCTGGTGCAGCTGAATAATTGATGAAAACAAGTTGCATGAATTTGTTGATGCTAAAACGCAAAATGGTTTCATTTATGGGTTACATACAAAAAACGCCCCCATAATGACTTTTTCTAAGACTCTTGATGCTGCCTTCATAGATTCAAATAAACAGGGTAACACATATGTTTTCCCCAGCCTTTGATTATAGATCTATATCTGATAACTTTTTATATTTACCTTTAAGCTGATCTTCAGATGTAATAAAGTGACATATCATAGAATGTACTGCCTTCTATCTACAGGTTAGAAAAGCAAACGCATTAGCTTATTGTTGTACTCAGCAATCATACTAACAGAAACAGGAAACTGTTGTTAATAACAGTGTAATTCTCAACATATGTTCTTACATGCTAGACTCTGATAAAAGGAAAACATAACTATTTGATAATACTGATGAACGTTGCAAAATCATGTATGAATAAATTGTGCTAAATAAACAAAAGGTTGAAATGGCTTTGGGGTCATGGCAGACGCTGATCCTTATAATGAGCAATCTATCCAGATAATTGAAAGGGAAACACATTATTTTCATCTCATTAAGAAGGTTTTATTTGAATTATATATCAAATCAAATATTTTATAACCAGAGCCTCAAGGTGGGGTACCTATTAATAAAAATTTTTTTGAAATGTGTATATTTTAAGCACCATACAGTACATCTAGTTTAATGTAAGATGGGTCGTTCATTTTAATGGTGTCAGAACTAAAATGTCCAGTTAAAAGCAGTATGGAGAGGCTAGTCAATCCAAGGCAAAGTGTTCCTAGCCTGTCCAGCCAGACTGACTCAAGCCATCTACACAGCATATCCTGGAAAGGAGCACATTTTCAAAGGCAGGGCTAAAATGTAAAAGATATATACATCTGTAGTTGCATAAGTATGGTTATAGATACATGTTGAATTATGGACCCGCCTTCCACATTGTGATTGGTTGGGCATGTTCTAAACTGCAGAATATTAAGCCTTCCCAGAATGACTTATGTCCTGTAAGTGTGGCTGGCCAGTCTAGAGCTCCACAGCTGAGGCCAACAGTCACCAACTGGAACTGCACAGCAATAAGCAACCAATATGGTTTCTGCCCATACTAACAGTAATAAATGAAAGTAGCCTTAATTATTACACTAAAACTACATTGTTGAGATCTGTAGCGGGACTGTTATTTGTGTGGCTTAGTAAAGAATATAGTAGGAATGTTTTGCTGCTGTCGCTACTGCTACCAAGCAAGTCGGGTACATTGAGTGTTAAAGTAGTTTTTTGTGATTACCTGACTGACTAATATGAATTTTGACTTCTAGATTTATTTGGAATTATTTTTGTGATCTAAAAGTGGAATTTAGAAAAAACTTACTTTACGGATGAAAATTTCTTTGTCCCTAATTTGGAGCCAATTGGGAACAGGGCTGATTGATTTTTTTTTTTTTTATCACAATTTATATGATTGTTTTTACCACTTAACGTTCCATCTATATTCTAATAATAAGCCGATTAAAAAATGGCTAATTTTTCCCAAATATTTTTTTATTCATTTTCAAGTAATAACATTTAATAGACATAATAAAAACAACATGTCTCTCACACACACATTTACCATCAGAGACCTGCACCTATCATAGAGAAAAAGTAAAATTTGTATGTAAAGTTATAAGTTACAAGAAAATTCGATTCAAATAATAATAAGGCAAATAAAAAAAAAATATTAAAAAAAAGATAGAAAGGCAGAAATGGTATGGTCTTACTTTACAGATGACATATAATAATCATAATAACCATTTCCATAATAGTACAAAGTCCTTACTTTTACACTTGGATATATGCGTTAGTCTTTCCAGTCTAATGCACTGTGAAATTTCTTTTAGCAATTGTTTTATATAAGGTGCTTCTATGCTCTTCCAGTTTAAAGCAATGGCTCTTCTGGCATGTAACAATCTAAAGTCCAATAGTCTAGTTTTTGTCATTGTTTGTGAGAAACCAGTAGGATGTATTCCCACTACAGAGAGTTTGTCACAAAATGGAATTATGGGATTAAACAAAACAACAATGTCTTTAGGTGCTAGCAATCTTCCAATTCATTAGGTTGGACATAACATTACTTTCTGCACTAAAGATGCTGTTTTTTATTGGTTTTATGTTATATTTTGATTTTGTGATAAACTGATTTATTAGCTGTGGGTCATAATCATTCAAATGACCAGAAATACACATCTATACAACCACATTCTATTTTACTTGACCTGAAAATATTTCACTGCCTAATGCCTAAATAATATACACCTGTATGTTTGAAATATGTGAAACCTCAATGGCCAAATAAAAACCCCCCAAAAGCCCCCAATCTTTTAATTTGCTGAGTCATTGTTTTGTTATGCAGCCTTTACTCCTTCCTGACAGTCAGGCACCTTGGCTAATTCTGGATTCGCTTTTTGTCATAATTGCCTGAAGAAAAGCAAAGTTAACTGTGCCAGACAAAAAGCTATTTTTATCCATGAATGTCCCCATTTCAGAGAAATTCATTATGCGTGCTTTTGAGGAGTGGATTTTGGGATGTTTGATGGTTTGTTGCAGCTACTGTTGGACATCAGCTGCATATAAACAATCCCAACTAAAGACCAACTAACTAACAAACGGATTTCTGACCCATTTTTCATCTTCCAGCAATGCCTCGGACATTTTTAATGACTCCTCTAACTTTCTGTGATGAATTCACTCCAGGAGCCCCTTAGTGCATAAAAGAATTCCACTGGCATGCATAATGTCTAAACAGAAACATAAAGCTAATTAGCAAGCAAAGATTTACAGTTTACTTTAAAATATGGCAGTTTAAAAGATTAGATTATCATAAAATGGAGTGCTGCCAAACTGTTTTTGTTTTTTTCCAGATGTACCTTTTAGTGTAGCAAATCAGGAGCATATCAGTATTGAAAATCAGAATGTAGCTTCATGTTTAATAACTCCCCTCAATGTTTGCAGGGAGGTTGCACAGATTGACCAGTTCCTTCAGGAGACGGCAGCAAGGGAAGCCAACGCCAAGGTGCGTCTGCAGCAGTTCATCGAGGAGCTTCTGGACCGCGCCGACCGTGCAGAGAAACAGCTGCAGATCATCAGCAGCTGCGGCACTACGCCCAACGGCAGCCTGGGACGCTGCAGCCTGCAGGCCTCCAAGGGCACCGGGCGCCAGGTTGGAGTCTTTTCACATAATTGTTGAGGTTGATAGTCTGAACCTTATATTCTAGATATGCATTACGTTTTCCTTCTTTCAGTGCCATTTTATTTGCATTTTTTTTAAAAATTATAAGATAAAAATCCCTTAAAATCTCATCAATCTTCTTAATCATATAGAGTAAGACGATTAATTATTTTTATTTTTATGTACTATACTAATTACAGACATATTTAAATTGTTAGGCCTACAGATAGTCAGAATGCCTCAGCTGAAAGATCAGGGAGATTTCTGGATTAAGTTCCTACAACAGGAGTCCTCAGATGATCCAGCTGATGTTTCCAGAATATTAAGACCTCAAGGTGAAACAGGAAGTATGATTCTGATCTGTTTATCATTCAACACCACATCAGTGAGAACATCGAGCCTCTGCTGCAGTTTATCCTGACCAGAGAGCAAATATATAAAGAGGATCCTCTTTTACTCACATCCAGCTTTTTGCCTCCAGGCTCAGTGTGTGAAATGTGCCACTCCCCCCTTATGCTTTGCCTTATTACACAACAATGGGAGAAAAAAATCTAAAAGCAGGCAATGGTTGTTCTTAAAATGCCACATTTTTAAATTATTATCTAACACCTGTGAAAAAAAAATGACCTGCTCCATATTCTAGAAATGTGTGCGCTGCCATGGAAACTAACTCCTGCTTTCCATCAAGGCTTTAGCAGGATTTTTAATCAGATCTGTCTGAAACCAATTTTTGCTTTTGTATTTAAGTAAGTCTGTGTTAAATGCATTTACCTAAAATTCCTTCAGATACTGCATAGATTATAGATCCCTCCTGTAATGCAGTCTACTCAATGTTTATGATATGCAAAAATTAATACATTAGTTGACTTAGAATTCCTTCTCAATGCAGGTGAGGCATTTTATGTGTTAAATTTATTTACTTGTTTAGGAACATCTAGTTTAAAACTGTACTACATTACATAGTGGTATCTTTTAGCCCCCAAATCTCCTTGACAACATTTAGACACTACTGTATGTAGATGCCAAATCGTTGTATTCAAGCCATTCCAGCAAAAAGCCTCTTCTGCCCTAGCATCACAAATATTAACAGTTAACTAAACCCATCTGGGACTTTAACTGCTTTGATAGCTTTGATAGCTGTGCAAAAGTAGATAATGGTTCCTCTAATAAAAGTTGGGGAATTTGTGATGCATTTGTATTTCTAAAAAAAAAAGCCCATAGAAAATTGTTAGAGGTCATTGCATTAGGAAGTCTTTAAAGTAGCAGGAAATTTATATAAAAACAATCTGGTGGAATCTAGAGGTATATTAATAAATTTTGTCTATATATCTATAAGTACGATAAAGGTCCAAATAGGGATGAAATAATTAATCGGATTCATCGATTATTGAAATAATTGTCAATTAATTAGTAATCAATTTATCCTAAACTATAGAGACTCTTAAACATGCCTGTGGCTGACAGAGCAACCCAGTTATAGCAGTAATTATACCAAAAAAAAGACATTTTAGATGAAAAACATTTTCTTCTGTCAATATGATCTATCAAAAGCTACTCAAGTGGAAAAGTTTGAGTTTCACCTCGTTTAATTTAGTAAAAAATCTTTTTTAAGGAATCTTTTGCTATCTGATTATTAATCGATTAGTCAAAACAATAATTGACGGATTAATTGATTTGCAAAATAATCGTTAGTTGCTGCCCTAAGTCAAAAACTTATTGCAAAATTCATAAATAAACACAGATGTTCTTTAACTGACACAAAATCGATCCTATTTTATGTTCCTCTCGTCTGTAGATCTAGTTACGATTGAAAACCTGTAAGTAGAACTAAAGAGAGGAGAGCATTGCCATTTTCAGCATAAGCAAATGCTCAGGTGTCACATATAAGCCAGTAAATTACATTTTATTCCAAATTGGGCTGGAAAGTTGCACATATGCTTTTACCATGATCACTTCAAACTGTGCTGTGATATTAACTGACCAAAGATGTTGCCTAAATTGGGATGCATTCTGTACGGATGTGAGTTACTTCTCAGTTTCCTGTTTTCATGCATGTGCACTGTTGCCAGACTTTGAAAAATCAGCGTGAAGATTGCAAGTGTGGTGTCACGCACAAACAACTTGGCACCTCATAAGTCTGTGAAGGGTAGCCCGGAGATGTCACCCAGCCAGCCACCTACCTTCACAGCCTCTCTTCATTCCTCCACCCCTCCATCCGGTGTCAGCAGGGTGTCCCTCATCTCCGTGGAGACGGGACTGAAAGCCAAAGACTTATTTGAGAGCTGACACTCGAGTAGACTTGTTTCCGGCCCTGAATTTAATTCCAGGCTGTTTCGAAGGCTTCTCTCAGGAAACTAAGGGAACGCAGCTTGTAGTGTCATGGTTTGGTGAATTTTTTTTTTGGTTTGTTACAGCAGGACCATGAGGGCTAGAAGCCAAAATGTACTTGAATTGGGTCCAGACATTCTCAGATGAATGCATCTATTTCATCCATGTTTTCTAAGGTCTTTTTCTGCTGTGTGTGTCTGTATGAGAGCCTCAGACAGTTTGCCTATTTTCCTGTATCGTCCATTTGCACAGGCGCTTAGTCCTAAAACAGGCTGCATGGGGAAAGCAGTGGAAGGAAAGAGAAGGGAAACTGGTTGTTTGCTTTCCTTCTGAGGCATGACATTACACAAACCTACACCTGGCCCTGCTTCACACACGTGTATGCGCCGTCTCATGCAAACAGTGCTTCATTGATCTGGAATCCTGGAGTCATGTGTGACAAAGTAATGAAAGTAAACTGTCCCCCCCAAAAAAGCGCAAGAGTCTGATTATAAGACCTATGAACAAATAGCATTATCTCCTTTTTTTAAGGGGCCATGTGATGTAATCGATGTTTTTTCCTGGTATTTCAACAGTTTGTGGAAGGTTGTATTTATTAATCTGTTTGTACAGTATATTTCCCCAACAATAACCTACAGTAGCAGCCATTTAAATTGGCCCTTCTTAGTCAAACGCCAGCCGAATGGCAGCCAACCTCCAGCCACTAGAGTGACCCCCTTCTTCTCATGGGCATGCATAATTTTTTACTCTGACTCCACCCTGTCACTGAATTACAGGGTCTGACCAGGAGAAGGCGCTTCTCTTTAGATCTTAATGTCCACAAATCATGACAAAGAATATTTTAGTAGAAAGGTTGATGTTTAAAAAAGGAATCTTAGGGGACCAGCCAAGGAAAGTGGGGAAATTTTGAATGGCTGCTACTGTATGTTAAACAGAGTAATGATGATGCAAGAATGTGATAAATATAAATTAATGAGAATTTTGAGTGTATTTCCTCCTTTTCCAGTTTTAACGTAAGCTTTAAAGAACCAATACAGACTTGCTAAATAACTTCCAAATATATCTACCCCACTGTAAGGGATTATTATTTGAGTTAAAAGCAGATACATCTCCAAATTATCTATGCGGACACAAATCAGCTTGAAGGCCTGATCAGATCAAAAATTGTTTAGTGTAAAAATGTACGACTGAAGATTCTAATCCGATTGGAAAGAAATTTCCTTTTAAAAGAGAGAGGAGATTTTTGCTGATCGCCATTCCAATTGGCATCCATGCACACAGGTATTCAATGCTTTGAAGGAAATTATCCCCACTTTGGATGTGTGCAACATCAAGTTGATGTTTTTCTGGTAAATCATACAGTTCTCTGCATTGCTCAAATGATTAAATCCTTGTTACATACATCATGATCAGATCATGTTATTTAATGTCCATGTAAACAGAGATTTTGAATTTCAAATTATGTATCATATGTGGGAAATTTTTCAAATGTAAACATAGCTACTGAGTGTGTGAACAACATGGTTCATCGAGTTGAATCTAAATAACTAATAAGCCAATTAAATCTTTTAGTATTATGCCTCAAATACAAGCCATTAGCATTACAGGATTGTTAACAATAAAACCAGTCTTGTCATTTATTCCCCTGAAAGAAAACAATGATTTTATCTTGCTATTCTAGATTCAGCATATATAACAATAGAGAGGGTTGGTAAAGCCATAACAAAAAAATAGATAAATAAATCAGAGAAACTTAAGCCCCTTTCCAGACTAAAATCGATTTGGGTATATCTAAAAACTTCTTGGTCGGATCGCTTCCATCCACATGAAGTGGTTGAAAGAAGGACATTTGAAAGCTGGGAAAGTTTCAAGCCTCCGTCTGGATTCATCTTTCTGAAAAACAAACTAGCATTGCTGTTAATGCGAGCCAACTTAGGCCTTCAAACCGTACGACGCATGCAGACACCAATGGCAGACATTGTGTTTCAGCAATGCAGTTTATTGTGGATTCTACATCAACACATTTGGCCAACATAACAGACTCTTATCTCTCTCATGTTAAATTTTATACATCCTTCATCTCCCTTCTTCTGACTCCTTGGTGGCATTGGGAGCCATACATGCCTTCTGTTTAGGCACTGTGCTTCTCTGCACAAAGCCAACTGTTCTTCACTTAACTGATTCACATTCATGTTGATGTGGCTTATATGTAACACCTTTAGTCTTTTGTTTATCTGCTGAATTCTCCTTGATGTTATTTTGCCCTATCCCCCATTTTAAATGTCTCTAAGATAAATAAAGATTAAAAGCTGGTGTTAGACGGCTTGTTTTCATTCCTGAAAAAGCCCAGAGAAAAAGAACAAGGTCTAGCCCGCTGTTTAGAGAGCTTCTTACACCTTTTGTGTTTCCCTGTCCTTATTCAACACCCCACTGACCTAGAAAATGCTAAGTTTGAGTCTTTCTGTACCAGTTACAGCTTCCACACTGAAGTTCGTTCCTGTTACTGTAGATCTTCTGGTCATACTTAAAGGGGAACACCATTTATTTTACATTGGGCCCTTGATTTTACGTTATTACATCATGTTCTACTCACCCATATGAGATTTTTGTCATTTGGAGCCGTTCAACAAAGCGTCATACACACGCCGCTTTGTTTTTAAAAGATATAAATATAAAAAATATAACCGCGGATGTCTGGGGGACAGTGATTCGAAGTTATGAATGCTGGCGTACCATGAATGATAAATTATGAACAGTTCAGTTTGTGCCTTCAAGTCGTTGCCCATAGGAAGACGTTACTTGGATATAACCTGATGGAATATTTTCAGAACAGCTCCAATTGACACAAAACGTATATGGATGAGTAGAACATAATGTAATAACGTAAAATCAAAAATGAAATTCCCCTTTAAGTCTGGTGTGTTTGCTGATAGTAAAATGTTGGATATTTGAGTTTCTTTATCATAGTTGCTCAGTAATGGAAAGTCAACCTAATAATTAACCTATTCAGTCATTTGCTGACAGATTCTTCAGTTTATCTCTCATTAGATGAATAAAGATCAGTCATATCTAACACCTAAAACTAGTCTTTATATTTCTCAAGGCTTCTTTTATGCTATCCACATCTCTATGGCGATGATGTCTCTCTGTGTTCAGCACTTCTGCTTTAGGCTTAGTGAGTTTTTTTCCTTAATGAATTTTTTCCTAATGATATTGCCCTGTCAATTTCACCACTGGTATTATTAATTAATTCAGTCAACATTAGATATCCAACACATGTGCCTTACAGAAGGTTTTATGTAGTTCTGTCATTCTCTTTGTAGAGATACATTTTATTATGTAATTATACATTAGATATTTTACAGTTATAGGCAGAAAGTTGTAAGTTTTATCTTACTACTCCATAAAGCCTGCTGCTACTGATTTTGTATTGTTGAATTCAAGCATAAATCGATATTTAACTTGCTTTCCCAGATTATTATATAAATTTGTTATATGTTGTTGGATCTCATTTAGAAGATGTCCTTATGGTTTTCGTGGTATGCGCCTATGTTATGTATAGTATTAACTAATCTTTGAGTGGAAATTTGTTTAGCTGCTGTGTCCAGTACATTTATGCTGATGTATTTTTAAGTCTGTAATATTGAGGAGAAATGTCTGTTTCATGTTTTGCATGTAGACAACTTCTGAGTAGTTTAAAACAATTTAGGATTACTTACATAGTCCTTATCAGGATCTTCTGTATTTTGCATACATAGTCATACTGTAAATAAAAGCAAAATTTAACATCTTTAAAACTTTGCAGCAGTTGATGTAATCTGTTTTAAGAAGAACTTATTTTGTGTTTGTTCTCAATTTTTATTTTCTCCAGAGAAATTCCAGCCTCTCCGGGAGCACAAGGGGAATGTACCAAGTCTCAGAGAGACACTCCTCTCCCAGCACAGGGTAGGTCAGAGACTCTCACCTTTAGTCTTAGATATAATTCTCTTTACCTAATGCATAGTAATCATCATGGTGAAAGGTGACAGTTTTTCCCCAGCCGCCCCAGGTAAATTGATTATTAAAACCATCCTACCTTGAAATATGATGCCCCCCTTGTGCATTGTTTAAGATGAGCTTCAAATCAGGATCCCAGAAAACGTTTGGTTATCTAACATAACCCCAATTCTTAGAATAATATGAGCGAGGTGTCTCGCTATGGGATGCAGCCTCCTGCAGCCCTGATAGAAGCATTTATCTCAATCTGCCAATCCTGATTGGCCGGTGAAAGTGCCCATCTTATGCCACGCCCCGTAGCTCCGACTACTAAAGCGTGTGCGGATCACGGCACTCCAATTCAACAAGCAAACCTCTTCTCGCCGCCCTGCAAGAAGGGTCGTCTGGCGAGACACCTCGCTCATATTATTCTAAGAACTGGGGTTATGTTAGATAACCAAACGTTCTTTTTCATAATATTCACTCGGTGTCTCGCTATGGGATATGGTAGCTCCCGTATTGCCAGACAGCTTATCGAACAAGAAACCGGCCGATGGGGAAGGTCCACAAGGTCAGTTATGACTCTAGGACCGCACTGGCCACGCACGGTCCAGAAACGTCAAGCATGTAGAACCGGACAAAAGTCAGAGGCGAGGACCAACTCGCCGCTGAACAAATGTCCTGAACGGACACTCCCCGAAATAAAGCCCAGGACGCAGCCATCCCGCGGGTAGAGTGTGCATGCAGACCCGCCGGGGGCTGCAGACCCCTGCTTCCATACGCCAAAGCGATAGCCTCCACCACCCAGTGGGTGAGGCGTTGCTTTGTGATCGGCTGTCCCTTACGGGGCTCCGCCCAGGAGACAAAGAGCTGATCACTCCTCCTGAAGCTCCGCGTCCTGTCCATATAAGAGCGCACGGCTCGAAAAGGCCACAACGTGTGCGCTCGCTGTTCACCGGGGGAGGCGGAGAACGCCGCTAGCTAGATCGGTGAACAAGAACCAACCACTTTAGGAACAAAGGCCGGGTTGGGCTTCAGAACCATACGCGTGTACTCCGGGTCGAACTGGGTACATGCGGGGTTCACAGAAAGCGCATGAATGTCGCTGACCCGTTTCGCATAGGCCAGAGCCAGTAACAGCACTGTCTTGAGAGACAGATGTTTAAGACTGGACCCCAACAATGGCTCAAATGGGGGTCCCTTGAGCCCCTCCAGAACCACCGACAAATCCCACGGAGGCAGCAAAGGTCTGGAGACAGGGAGAAGCCTGCGGGCGCACTTCATAAACCGACAAACCAAAGGGTGTTGGCTCGCCGTTTTGTATCCAAATCCTAAATGGCATGCTGCTATAGCTGCCAGATAAACCTTAACCGTGGAAAAGGCTTTTCCTTTATCAATCAGTTCCTGTAAAAACGACAGAATCGTTGGTACAGAACACTGAAAGGGAACGTAGTCCCGTTCAAGACACTACCGCTCAAACAGTCCCCACTTGGAGCCATATAGGTTCCTAGTGGAGGGAGCCCTGGCGTTTTGGATAGTATTAATTACACTCTGAGGGAGCCCAGCAGTGGTTAAATTAAGCCACTCACGGGCCAGGCCCACAGCTGCAGTCGCTCTGGGTGTGGGTGGAACACTGTCCCCGCGCCCTGCGAGAGCAGGTCCCTGCGCAGCGGCAGCTCCCAAGGCTGGGCGCACAGCATCTGGAATATCTCCGCCAGCCAGTGTTGTGCTGGCCAGTGCGGAGCTATCAGGATCAGCTTGTGATTGAATGCTCTCACTCTGGCGAGAGTGGGGGGTATCAGGGCCAGCGGTGGAAACGCGTAGGGGCATTCAGAGTGCTCAGAGAGAAGAACAGCTTGCAACGAGCGTTTTCCCTGGACGCGAACAGATCTATCTGAGCGCGCCCGTAGCGCGCCCATATCTGCTCCACGACCTGCGGGTGCAGCGTCCATTCCCCGTACACCGGCACGCCTCTGGACAGCAGGTCCACACCCGTGTTTAAGTCTCCCGGGACGTGCGTCGCCCTCAGGGAGAGAAAGTGGGCACTGCTCCAGAGAATCAGGTCGCGCGCCAGATCGTGCAACATACGGGAGCGCAGGCCCCCTTGGCGGTTGATATACGCCACTGTTGTCGTGTTGTCTGTCCTCACCAGGACATGGTGACCCGAGAGGAATGGAAGGAAGTGTCTCAGAGAAAGAAACACCGCCGAAAGTTCGAGATAGTTTATGTGAAGGCGCTGGAGAGCCTGGCTCCAGCGACCCCTCACAGACCTGCCCTCGTGAATGCCGCCCCAGCCTGATAGGCTGGCATCCGTGGTTACCACTTTCCTGGACGAGACGGTGCCCATAGGCACCCCTCGGGTCAGGAAGGACGGGGCTCGCCAACAACGCAGAGCTGTTATACAGTCCGCTGTGACCGTTATCCGCCGTGCGCCATGACGCACGGGGTCCATTCGGAGCAAAGCGACCCAGCGCTGAAAGTCCAGCATGTGAAGGCGGCTGAGGCGAATCACGAGGATGGCTGAGGCCATCAGACCCAGCAACCAAAGGCACAGTCTGAACTGGACAGACTTGTGCAGACGGAAATGTGCAAGGCACGCTCTGAAAGTCGTCACCCTTTCCTCCGACAGGCGAGCTGTGAACGGGACAGAGCGCAGGGATAAACCCAGAAAGCATATCTCCTGCGTTGGAGATAGGTGGCTTTTCTCCATATTTATCACAAAACCCAAATCCATCAGGTGTGCTGTGACAATATGTGTGTGAACCCTGGCTTCCTGTTCTGACTGCGCTAACAGGAGCCAGTTGTCCAAATACGTGGCCAGACGTATCCCCCGGCGTCTGAGCGGAGCTACCGCGGCCTCTGTGCACCGTATGAAAACCCTCGGGCTGAGAGACAGACCGAATGGTAGAACACGGTATTCGTAACACACCCCTTGAAAGGCAAATCGGAGATATTATCTGTGAGGGGGATAAATGGGAATGTGGAAATGCACGTCTTTCAGATCCACGGACGAAAACCAGTCGTTCGGTCTTACTAGACGCAGCAGTGCTGCATGTGTCAGCATCCTGAACTTGTATTTCCGCAGGAATTTGTTCAGGGCCCTCAAGTCCAGAATAGGGCGGATTCCTCTCCCCCCCCTTTTGGGGACGAGGAAGTATCTGGAATAAAACCCTGACAGACTCTGTTCGGGAGATACGACAGAAACCGCTCGTTTGTCTAACAGAGAGAGAATTTCCTCCCGTAAGACTCAAGCTGATTCTCCCTGTGCATGTGAGTGTATTACGCCGGAGAAGCGGGGAGGGACAGTGGCGAATTGAAGCCTGTATCCCCGGGAAATTGTGCGCAACACCCACGGTGGAGCTGCTGCTGCTCTCCAGCTTTCCCATCTGAGAGAAAGCGGGGAAACATATTGCGGCTCCTGTCCCGCGCCCCCCTCTGGTAGAACCGAGAAATGATTCCCGGGCACCACAGGAGGTACGGTGGGGCGCTCCGCTCTCAGCGGGACTGAGCCATCGCGCTCGCTCCTGGACGACGAGGGTTGCCATCACCTTCCCTGGACCGAGACACGTTGGATACGGAGAGACAAATCTGCAATGACCGCCATCTCCTCCCACGCGTCCGGATCTTGCTCCTCAGCGGACGCGCCAAACAACTCCGCTTGGTAGGCAGTGAGGATGGATAGGGCGCTGAGGGCTCTGGCCGAGAGGGCTGCTGCTTTGTATGCCCTTTCGGTCAGCGCAGACTGAAACCGATCGGGCTTGGCTGGCAGCGTCGGGCGCCTGGGGGAAGCCTCAGACAGCTGGCTCGAGCTGCCTGGGCAGAGGTGCGCAGCCACCGGGACTTCCACCGGAGGCATGGAGAGGAGGCCGTGGGCATCCATCGCCTCGCAATCGAGGGATGCTGCGCCCGAAATAGGGCTCCTGTTGCTGTATGGGCAGTTAGTCCATGTTTTGGAGAGCTCAGTCAGCAACTCGGGGAAGACAGGAAGAAGCTGCTTCACCGCATTTCGCGCCAGGGCAAGCCGTTTGCCTTCGTAGCGGGACCGGGTGGGCTCCGCTATTGCGACCGGCAAGGGGATCTCCAGCTTCTCTGCCGCGCGTTTGCACACGTCGAGCAGGTCCACATGGAGGGAGGGAGCTTGTGAGCTCGCTCCCCTGTCTTCCTTGGTGGAAGAGCTCAGCGGTTTCGGCTTCTCAGGCTGCGCTGGGGCCATGAAGGTGTCATCCTCTTCCTCGTCCTCTGATATGAGGAACGAGGTGTCGTCATCCTCCTCCATGGGGCTGACTTCCAGCACGTCTTCCTCGGGAAACGGGGGGGCATGGAGCTGCTCGCACTGGGCACCCCAGTCGTAGTCAGTCTCCGGAGCTTCCCCAGCTGTGTCCACGTCCTCCTCCGCGGCTGCACCTTGGGCGGCGGTGGGGAGGAATGGATCACGGTCCGAGATGCTAACCTGGCGGGCTAGCCTGCGTCTGAGGCTCTTAACCATGAACACTTTGCAGTGCCCACAGGAGCCGGGAATCTCGAGGGCCAACCTGGCGTGGTCGACTCCCAGACAGGTACTGTACTGGTGGGTGTCTTTCCCCGAAATTTTATTCCCGCAGCCACAAAGACGGTAGTCTCCCCTGGCGTGGGAGTTTTTGACGGTTGCCATTTTCCGACGAGCTGGAGTGCTGGTAGGGAAAGGAACCGTAGCTAGCTGGCGTGCTAGCGTGGCGGGGTCGAGAAAGTAGCTGGTGTGCTAAATGCTCGTCCTAGTCGAGCGTCTGCGGAGGGGAGCCGAGAGGGATTCCGCCGTGAAGAGAACGGAAAAGAATACCGGTCCGGTCTGGAGTGAGCGGACAAGGCAGAAGCCAGAGCACAGTGCTAGCGTCCGGCGACGGAAACTAGCAAGGTCCGTCTGTGGGCAGTTAAGCTAGCAAGAAGGCTCCGACGTGAGATAAGCTCTTAGGTGAGAAGAGGTTTTGAATTGG